GCTTTCTTGAACCGAAATTCGGACAAACATTCATCTTCGGTCAGGTTTTCGAGGTCGAAACGTGGATACAACTCACACGGCAAGTCCAGGTTTTGTGGGTTGTAAAGGTCGTATAGTAAGAGAAATTCGGCGTCATCGAGGACATTCATGTCATAATAGAGCATTATAAGCTCTCTCAATTCTTTCCAAGAGACCATTTTTTCTAAACAAACATACAAACATACATACAACAAAAAAACTTGGAGCAGAGTTTTATTTGTTTATATCGAGTTTAATCACTTTGAGTTTGGCGGGAGACGGCGTAGTCGGCCCAGTCTCTTTCGGTTGCATCAGCCGTAAGCCTCGCCGTACTGGATCTTAAACACGAAGGCGCGCTATAAAAGGAGCCTTAGGTCCCACTGGACCATTTGTCAATCAACCGTCGTGTGATGTAGAACTCTTAGAGTCAAGTCAGCTTGAGCTACAGCTACTCCAAAGCAGTGAACAGCGGGCGCATTCCTCAAAATTGTTTTATGTCTTCATCACAATACAAGAATTTTTGAGATTTGTATTTCCTTTCTCCAATGGAAACTGTCTTTATTTGTGGCGGTAAATTTGAGATCGAAGTAGGTGGTTCGCACGTTACCTCATGCCACCATGCTGGTGGAAGTAAACAATAGATATCTCATTAGCTCCTTTTGTTCGTCTACCAGCATTTAAATTTGACCCGCACACGTCAACGGTGAGTGACAAATGAGCCTAGGTCTTCCCAGGGAAGACTTCCTTATATAGCGCGCCTTCGTGTTTAAGTTAAAGTGCATATGACACGAAATTTTTTTATCTTGTTTCTTGTAGTCGGATATCTATAAGAAACGTTTCGAAGCCTTAAAAGTGCTGGAAAAGTCTAAAAAGCATATATATATATATTTTTTTTTTTTTTGCTTTCAAAATACGTGCAATTTGCCTTCAAATTTGTTCCGGTCATCGCGCGGCCAAAATCGCACGTAACGTCACATTGTGTACCCAGATTCTTCGAAGTCAATGGAACTTTCAGAAGAGTCGGACTCAAAGGAATCATTAGAATCACTGGACATCTTTGCCTTTCAATGCACTAACTATCTACTACGAAGTGCAGCAGAATCCTCTTAGCGACAACAGACCTTCGCGACAAACGTACACAATGTGACGTCATGAATAACTTCTACGACGATAAACTAGGACCCAGTTTCCGGGACAAATTTGAAGGCAAATTGCGCGTATTTTGAAAGCAAAAAAAAATGCTTTTTACATTTTTCAGCTCTTTTAAAGCTTCGAAACGTTTACTATAGAAATCCAACTACAAGAAACAAGAGAAAAAATTCTCGTGTCATATGCACTTTAAAGAGGGCAGAAGAGACCAAACATAAGTAACAGGGGGTTGAAGAGATCAATTTTGTCGCCGATTATAGTCATCATTGCGCATGTTATGACCATATTCCAAGTTAAAGAATAATTGCAAGAATAATATCGATCATCCAACGTTTCCCAGATCTTTTCAAAGAGATGACTGACCAGAAAAGTGCAGACATCTCACAAGGTAGAAGTCTCTGGCCCAGCATGTTTCGTATCTGCCCAAGAGCTCATCCATGACCTTGAATTAGTCAAATATTGTATTTGAACTCTTGCTCACATCAAAATTATCGCCGTATCTAGCCTGGCTTCACACAAGGATAACTACTTTTGTAACCTTAAAACTGAGAAACGTTATAATACGTTGGGCCATGAGAAGAAGATCTTAATTTTTGTTTTCGGAATGCATTGCTTGACTTTGACAAGGTAATCTTTATTCAAAAGTAATCTGATCATGTTAGTGTTTCGTAATAAGCCTGGATGACTGTTGTAAGATGTTAAAGAGTTCATTTGTTGGAAAATGTCGGTCAACCTGAAGCTTGAGTGTCTCGGTTCTTGAGGCTAAACTCAACTTGAGAAGCTCAAGACTTAATATTTCTCACATCAAGTTAGATAATTGTTCTGATCACCGATTTGTTTCGGGTCTGATAAGTTTTTGCATTACT